CCCCAATTTCCCCCGGAATTTCCCCCGAATTTCCCCGGATTTCCCCCGAATTTCCCCTGAATTTCCCCGGATTTCCCCTGAATTTCCCCGATTTCCCTGAATTTTCCCCAATTTCCCCCGGAATTTCCCCTGATTTTTCCCGATTTCCCTGATTTCCCTGATTTCCCTGGATTTCCCCGAATTTCCCCAATTTCCCTGAATTTTCCTGAATTTCCATGAATTTCCCCGAATTTTCCCCAATTTCCCCTGGAATTTCACCTGAATTTCCCCGGATTTCCCCAAATTTCCCCGGAATTTCCCCCGATTTTTCCCGATTTCCCTGGATTTCCCGATTTTTCCCCGATTTTCCCCGGATTTTCCCGATTTTTCCTGAATTCCCGGATTTTTCCCCGATTTTTCCCGATTTTCCCCGATTTCCCCAATTTCCCCGATTTCCCCAATTTCCCCAATTTTTCCCGATTTCCCCGATTTTCCCAATTTTTCCCCGATTTCCCCAATTTTCCCGATTTTTCCCCAATTTCCCCAATTTTTCCCGATTTCCCCAATTTTCCCAATTTTTCCTGATTTCCCCAATTTCCCCAATTTCCCCGATTCTCCAGAATTTCCCCAATTTCCCCGATTTCCCCAATTTCCCCAATTTTTCCCGAATTTCCCCGATTTCCCCAATTTCCCCAATTTTTCCCGATTTCCCCGATTTTCCCAATTTTTCCCCGATTTCCCCAATTTTCCCGATTTTTCCCCGATTTTCCCGATTTTTCCTGATTTTTCCCGATTTCCCCGAATTCCCGATTTTCCCCGATTTTCCCCGATTTTTCCCGAATTCCCCGATTTTTCCCTGATTTCCCCGATTTCCCTGAATTCCCAATTTTTCCCCGATTTCCCCGATTTCCCCAATTTCCCGGAATTCCCAATTTCCCCGATTTCCCCGAATTCCCGACTTTCCCGATTTCCCGGATTTCCCGATTTTCCCGATTTCCCGACTTTCCCGATTTCCTGATTTTCCCGATTTCCCGGATTTTTCCCGATTTCCCCGATTTCCCTGAATTCCCAATTTTTCCCCGATTTCCCCAATTTCCCAGAATTCCCAATTTCCCCGATTTCCCCGAATTCCCGACTTTCCCGATTTTTCCCAGCATTCCCGATTTTCCCGAATTCCCGATTTTTCCCGAATTCCCGATATTTTTCCCGGATTTTCCCGGTTTTTCCCGGCTCCGTTACCTCCGTAGCCCAGCGCGGGCGGCCGGGGGCTCCCGTAGGGCAGCAGCCCCTGGGGGGACTGGGGGGGGTAGGGCAGCGCCCCCGCGGCCAGCCCTGGGGTCAGAGGTCACACCGGGGTCACGCGGGGGTCAGGGGTCACACAGGGGTCACTCAGGGGTCAGGGGTCACACAGGGACTGGGGGGGGTAGGGCAGCGCCCCCCCGGCCACCCCTGGGGTCAGAGGTCACACCGGGGTCACACCGGGGTCACGCGGGGGTCAGGGGTCACACAGGGGTCACTCAGGGGTCAGGGGTCACACAGGGACGGGGCAGTAGGGCAGCGTCCCCGCGGCCAGCCCTGGGGTCAGAGGTCACACCGGGGTCACACGGGGGTCACCCGGGGGTCACAGGGGGGTCAGGGGTCACTCAGGGGTCACACCGGGGTCAGGGGTCA